GGGGCAGCCTGCAAGGGCACCAGCTGGTATGAGGGCCCTTCTGGGGACCCCAGGCCTTGGAGGTCCTATCTGGTGGCGGGACACAGGGAAGGGCCACAGAGGTGTTTTCTGGCCTGACCTGGGGTCTGCAAGGAACCAGGGAAGAGCTGCCCCCGGCAGAGGGAAGAGAGGAAGTGTCAGCGGGAGGAGGCTGCCTGAGGAGACCCCCTGAGCCACTGAGGAAAGGTCTAGGGAGCTGAGGTTGGACAAAGAGTCCTGAGCAAGTGGACAGGCCTTACACTTGCCAAGGCAGACAGGAGAAGGCAGCATGGGACCAGGAATTCCCTTGCTGATTCCTCAATTTTTATAACTTGTCTCTTTTAACAGCTTCCAGAATGAAAGTGGCTGAGGCTGGCAGGTCTGTGCCAACCCCACCGAGTTCTGGTGCCAAGTGCATCATTGCCCTCAGAGTCGAATCCCTGAGTGACCTGGAAGCAACAAGACACTGTTACATCTGTGCCAGATTAGGAAGCAGGGACCCAGGACCCAGGGACGTCCCTTCAATTCCTGAACCTACCCCTACCCAAGCAACCACACTCTGGGACTCTTCTTAACATGCACTTTAACTTATCTAGATTATTAAATTTTAGTAACGTATTTCTATGTGTTCTTCACTGCTTGTCGGAAGGGATCCCACAACACCCTCTGCACCCCTTCCTCAGCCCCTCCAGTCATACAGTGGCTGACACATATTCAGGCACATGGCTATTCTTTGAGGCTCTCATACAAGGTGGGTGGCTACGTTCAGTTTTTTCTAGAGGACATTATTCCAAAGCTGTCAACCAACAAATATTTATAGAACATTATTTATCATTTCACTGTTCATCTATGTAAAATAATGAATTCATTTTGAGTAAACCAGTCTTAAACTGTTGGTGATTCTATTGGCTTTGTTTTGTGACAAAACAAGGCGCTGGGATGGGAGGGGAGGAGTAGAAAACTCTGAAGAGGGGAAGTCAGCAGAAAGGAAATGACAATAATGCCTCTCCCCAAATAATGAAACACTATTTTATAAAACAATGATTATTTTAGGAAATATTACGCACCCAGTGTACAATGCATATGCACTAGGTAAATTCATGCTTGAAATATTCATGCATTTAAGTTTATTTTTCTCACAAGTCAAGCTCTCTTAAAAATTATTCACTGTCCTTCAAATTCTAACAATGTCTTCAAAAGCTAAGTCCTATTAATATTCCCATTTGATAGAAGAGGAAATGTTGGCTCAGAGAGTTCAAACAACTTGTCCGTGCTCATGCAGCGGATAAATAGTGTAACTAATATGCAAACCTATGAGCAGCCCAGAAACTCCTGGGATGGCTGTTTAAAATGCTCACAAGAGAATTGGGTTTGGATGTGGGAATCTAGATTTTTACCAAACCACCAAGTGATACACATGCAGACTAAAGACAAGAAACTACTGAATTTGTCAATAAGAATTTTTTTTTTTTTTTTTTTGGAGACTGCCGCCCCGGCTGGAGTGCAGTGGCGCAATCTCAGCTCACTGCAACCTCCGCCTCCCGGGTTCAAGCGATTCTCCCGCCTCAGTCTCCCGAGTAGCTGGGACAACAGTCTCCTACCACCACACCCGGCTAATTTTTGTATTTTTAGTAGAGACGGGTTTTCACCATATTGGCCAGGCTGGTCTCAAACTTCTGACTTTGTGATCTGCCCACCTCAGTCTCCCAGTTTTTTGTTTGTTTTGTTTTGGCTTGTTTCGAGATGGAGTTTTGCTCTATCGTCCTGGCTGGAGTGTTGTGGTGCCATCTCGGCTCACTGCAGCCTCCGCTTCCTGGGTTCAAGTGATCTTCCTGTCTCAGCCTCCCAAGTAGCTGTGATTACAGGTGCATGCCACCATCCCCAGCTAATTTTTGTATTTTTAGTAGAGACGGGGCTTCACCATGTTGGCCAGGCTGGTCTTGAACTCCTGAACTTGAGAGATCTGCCTGCCTCGACTTCCAAAAGTACTGGGATTACAGGCATAAGCCACTGCACCCGGCCTCAGTACGAATTTAACCACTCTTTTAAAAATAAGATGCACATGGCAATAGACATCTTACATGGGTATTATTTCCTAGAATTCATGTTCCACAAAATCAGTGGTTAACATTATAGACAGGAAAGACAGTCAGCCAATATATACAAGAAGACTTCTATCGTGAATGCAGAATTATTTGATGGATTGCCTAGACCGAGGTTAAGAAACTATGGTCTTCAGAACAAATCTAGCATGACCCCTGTTTTGTAAACAAGTTTTGTTGAAACACAGCCACTCCCGCCCTTTTACACATTATCTGTCCCAGCTTTCCAAGACAAAAGTGGAGTCACATTGTTGCAACACAGATTATATAGCCCACAAAGACAATATTTACTATCTGGTCTTTTACAGAAAACGTTGCTAACTCCTGGCCTATGTTTTAGTATATACTTTTTTAAGTATAAGAAAGTTAGACTGAGTCAGGATTCCTGCTGTAAAATGCAAGGGGGAGAAATTCAACATACTTGTGAGAAATGCAAAATATATTAACTTTTTGATAAGCCCTAGTTACTTTGTGTGTTTTAAATAATCTATATTTTAGTATCAAAAAGTGACATTTTGGTAATCAGCATTTTTGAAGAGCAATGACACGGTCTATAGAAAAATTTAAAATTTACATACTCTTCAATCTGTTTTATTTCTAGGAATCTATTTTAAGATACACTATCTAAAGAAACAAAGGAGGGCCAAGCACGGTGGCTCACTCCTGTAATCCCTGCACATTGGGAGACCAAGGCAGGTGGATAGCTTGAGGTCAGGAGTTCGAGACCAATCTGGCCAACACGGTGAAAACTCATCTCTACTAAAATACAAAAATTAGCCGGGCATGGTGGCAGGCTCCTGTAATCCCAGCTACCTGGGAGGCTGAGGCAAGAGAATTGCTTGAGCCTGGGAGGCAGAGGTTGCAGTGAGCCGAGATCGTGCCACTGCACTCCAGCCTGGGTGACAGAGTGAGACTCTGTCTCAAAAAAAAGAAAGACACAAAGTGTTGGCACATAGCTGTTGTTTGCAGCTCTGTTTGTAAAACAATCAATATAGATAAATTCTTTAAAATATGAATAGTTTAAACCATGATGGTATAGCCACATAATAAACATGACATTACTGAAAAGAATAAAGTACATATACATACTGAAAGGAAAGGTAGCTATGATATTAATGTAAAACTATGTATTGGCCGGGCACAGTGGCTCATGCCTATAATCCCAGCACTTTGGGAGGCCGAGGCAGGCAGATCACAAGGTCAGGAGATTGAGACCATCCTGGCTAACA